CTAAAAGATTTAATAGGTATTATAATTTTCAATTAAGGAAATAGTTTAGGTGAAAAATCTCAGTTTTTTTATGTTTTTCATTAATATTTCTAAATTTAAATATTTCGTACATTATTAAACTTAAAACATTTAATTTACCTTATTTCAAGTAGATTAAAGATTAAATTTTATATTAAAATTGTTTACAATTACAATATTTATCATATTTTCCTTTTTTGTTAACATTTTAGCAGATTAGTTTATCATATACTTTTGCCAATAGTTAAATTTTATTCATAAGGTATTCATAAATAGATTATCCAAATTTATGAAATTGTTATATATCACTTATGTTATCTTTCAACCGATATACAATTTTTGTAAATTATATTAAAAGATTGCATTTTCTTATACACCGTTGAGTTAATGTCCGTGATTGATAAATTTAACGGTTTTAGGGAAAATATAATATATACGTACTTATATTAAAACCAGACCTAATTACTATTGTATATATTATTTACTTTCTATACAGTTAAAATATACAAATCAACACGCGATTTAACTCTATAGAATTAAAATTAAAATATACAAAACTATTATGTTTATCCTATACTATTGAATACCAAATATTAATACAAATCCAATTATATCTTTAGTTTAAAAACATCATCCGTGCGAAAGCACGGGCCATCCTCTAGTTTTTATTAAAATGAAAAACCCAAATGAGTATTACAGATAGTGAAACAAAAGCCCAAATTCCTTCGACGTTTACAACTTCAATTGAATATAACCCATTTATCCTACCTATTTAAGATAAGGATAAAAGATCAAAGTACCACGTATGCACACGTGTCCATACGTGAGAAGAAGGAAAGTTGACACGATCGTCACTGACCAGATCCACGATCAGGCACAGCACCGTCGCCGGACTTTAGATCCACCACTGGTTGCTCCTTCCACATATTCACCGTTGCTTATGACAAGATTGTGTTGCTTCCATCTTTAAAATTATAACCATAGATTCTATTGAATCTTTTATCTCAACTCAAAAGCTCTTCGAAGAAAGCTCCGCCTCTAGACCTTCAAAGGTCCACTTCAAACCAACCGGTGAAGTAGGTTGACGAAGATATTACTCCTTCAGAAGAGAAGAGCCAAGCTGATAGTAAAGCAAACATAATTTGTCAATTACAAACGGGATTCAAATCTCAAATCATGTAGAAAGAGAAGCACAAAATCCAGAACTTAACAAAGTTAAGTCTGGAAATTTTTAATCCGACCAAAGATAAACTAACTTAAGATCGGAAGATAAACAAACAAAACAACTAATCCGATTAGAAATCGGAAGACAAAAAAGATAGATTTGGCTTTATCTCTCTGAAAAATACGAGAATTAAATTTATTTTAACGAATATAAAAATAGATTGGATATATATATCATATATGATTAGGTCTACAAATTATCTGATTAGATATTTACATTTTTGGAAGGATTAAAATATTAATTTTGCAATTGTATTTGTTCTAATTTTTGATTATTGACCAAATTAGTAAGAGTTTGAAAAATAACTTTAGTTGTCAAACTTCCAAATTTTGTTTTTTGTTACCAAAATTTATTCATTCTGTAATTTAGTAACTATATCGAATAAAATATTTCAATTATCAAGAATTTTATTTTGGATTTAAAATAGATTTTTAGAAATTTTATCTCCGTCAAATGATTTACACAATTATTAGTCTCATTATTTTCTCGAGAAACTTACAATTTTTTTATTCTTCATCACATACTCTATTTGACCAACTAATTCCACAAAAAAAAAAAAAGTGGATTTTGAAAAATATATATATCCTTTATCTTATAAATCACAAGTCACCTGTCCAATAAAATTTTGCCACATCAGATTTTTGTTTATTTTTAATTAAAAAAAAAATTGCCCACGATCGGAAAAAGAAAAGAAACGAGCAGCTAAGAAAACATTAAAAAAATTACTAATAAATGTTACAAATGTTATGGGATATTAATAAAAGCCCAAGTCCAATAGCCCTATTTTCTAAACCCTAGAACTATATTCCTTTTTTTCTTCTTCTTCGTCTTCATTTTAAGACTAACAAAAACTGTAATTCTATCCCTAATTTTCTCCCACTACCATCTCCACGTTCTAGGTGATTCTATAACCGACTTCTCTTCTATTTAAACCCCAGTTCAGTTTCTTTTATCAGTAATCTTTTTGTTCCATCGTTTTTTGGGTTGCTCCTCTCCTCTGTAATAGTCTATGTTCCATGGTTTTTCGGGTTTTGCTCCTCTAAACAACATCTACGATTTCGGTATTGAAAAAATTGCCAAAGGTAAATAATCCGATCGCTCTCTTATATTTTCCTTCTCTACGCGTTTTGATTCTAAGTGATGCTGTCTAGATCGAAATTGATAGTTCTTTGTCTTTGTATTTACAATTTCTGTTTTCAGATTTCGCAAGTTTGGCTCAGTTTGTTCATCGTCGTTTTACATGCGGATTTATAGGTTCATATTTAAAATTCAAGTCTCCAAATATGTCACTTGATACTACACATATTTCCCAAATAAGTCTGGAAGCAGAACCCATGTGAAGTCAACATTGAATTGTCCTTACAATTCTCATTTTTCATTGGTATGTCTATCTGTTGTCTTTGTATTTTTTACATCCAAACAAATTTAGTCAATTTCTCTTTCTTTGACAAGAAAAAAGAAAAGCTTCTAATGTGAGACTGATATTCTTCTCTACATTTAGTATCAGATTGTGTGAAACTCATTTTAAGTGAATTGACTATTTCTCAGTTAGTAGAGATTTTTTATAACAAAGGTGCATATCATAGATATCAACACTTATTGTTCATATGTACCTTCAATTTGTTTATCGATTTTCTGGACATAACTGAAATTTTCATTATGGCCATGTTCTTTTCCTTGACGCTGCGACTGCGACAGCAAAGAGAAAAAATAGTTCAGTGGAGAAAATAAAACACAGTGGTGAACGGAAAACAGTCGCAGGAGGTGACGTTGATGAAGATTAACTGATCGCTGTTAATTCCAGCGACTCATGTAATGCCGTTGCGACCCATCTGCTACCTTCTGCGACTCATCTAAAACTATTATTTTCACGCTCTCTTGTCATTTAATTTTGTTGCTACTCTTCACGACACGTTGTTTTACTCAGTCGCTGCTGCTATCGCAGCGTTTAGTAAAAGAACATGGCCTATTTCTTCTACTATTAAAAATAGATTGTTGGCATGGGAGACTTAAAGTGGCGACTGTTTGTTCATCTCGAAAGTAGATGTTGACAGAAGTAACGAATCAGGAGATGACTTCTTAAAGACCATTAACTCCAACGAATAGCATGGTATGCACTTGCAGATCATTAGTGCAACCCAAAATATTTTCGAAAAATTGCAAATATGAAGGTGAATTGGTCTCTTTTCTCTTTCTCATGTGAGGTTCAATAGAATCATGTATATACTAATTTTTTATTTTTAATCAGAACCAAGGAATGAAAATTGGATGGTGTTAAGTATATATTAACTATTCTTAAAATCAACCTTATAACTGTTTTATAGTATCAATCATTTAGAGTTCTTGCAGCTCTTTTTACATACTGAAAATTTCTCTGTTTTTTTTTCTATTAAGCAGCCATAGTATTGCTTAATAGCTTCAATCTCCCAACTTTTTATTTCTTAGTGGTTTTAGAATGCTATACTATAATCAGCATTGTTGAAGAGTCTATCTCTTTTAATCATACATTTTTTACAATTTGATTTCATTTACCTCAGCTTTATTTTCTTTCTTAAATTTTCTCCGATCTAACCAGTTTTTCGTTTTTTTTCATGTATCTCCAGACAATCCTATTTACAAGGACCTCTTAATGTTTTACAAACAACCATATATCAAGTCTCTCTACTCCGGCAGCAATTGACTTCCCATCAAGTATCTACTATCTAGTATCTACTCCCATTGGGAGTCTCCCAACAACACACCATTATTCAGACTTTGTATAGTAGAAGCTAGACCCCATTTCTTCTTTAACTATACGTATCAAAACAGTTTACACGTTTTAAAAAATTCGTGATTATACATTTTGAACTTCTAAACATTTTCATCTTTGTTAAATTTTACAAGAGCAAACTTGATTTTAAAACACAATAACAAAAATTGCAGATAACATTGAACCCGTACGTAGTATTACATGTCAAATTGTAGCCAGGTGAGAAATGTTTTTCAAGGTTATTCTATCTTCACATATTATAGTTATATATTATTTGCTTACAAATAATAATTCCGTACGCACGGGACAAATACTAGTATCTATATATATAAAGTTAGCTTTTTCTCTCTTCTCATGATGACACCTAATCATCCACCTAAGCCACATTTTTGTTTAAACATTAAAATAAATTTAAAACATTCATTTAGTGCATATTTATGTTACTTATTTAATTAACAGAAAGTTTAAATAAATAAAAATAAATCATGTAAAAAAATGAAATGTTAAAATAAGAAAACCAATACTTTAATTTTTTTATTAGTGGTAATAATATAATTCAACTTTCATTTTATATTGATCATAATTTAATATTTTAAATATGTTACTGAATTTTAGAATGGAAGTAAAATTTAAATTTATGGTAGACTAAAACAACATTTATGTAATTGTATATATAAAGTTATAAAGAGGAAAAATAAAATGAAAGTGAAATATTAGTTTATAACATGATCAAAAAGAAAAAAAAATGATATTTCATAAATTGAATCAAATGCTTTTAATCCAAATTTGAGTATTGAAAGATAATATTTATAATATTTTAAAAAAAATCAATTAAAAAATAATAAAATATCACAATATGAATAAAAAATCAACGAAACAAAATTATAAACCTCCCGCGCGGAGCGCGGGTCAACTGCTAGTATATATATATAAGATCATTAATATATACTATCTATACACCAATTAATAAAAGTAGATAGTATATATTAATGATCTTAAATAAAGTAACATATTTCAGATGGTTTACATAACTTGTTATATGTAACAAATTACTCATAAAATGAAAAATGACAAAAATATAAAAAGGCCTGAATTAAATGAAAAATAGTGGATTTGATATACATAAGATTAGAATGACAAATTTTATTAAATATATTTTGAGAAGAGAGCGTTATTAGTTTCGATAAAGACAGATAATTTGACTTCCCCGATTTATTTGGTGGCCGCCAACTTTTTTTTTATTCCCCTTTCGATTTCATCATCATCATCATCATCCCTTCTTCTCCTTTCTTCTTCATCCTCGTTTTGTTTTGGTATCTCTCTCGATCTCATCGGAATAAGAACAATCTTTAGATTCTTGCGCAAATCGAATCATGGCGGATCATCATCATCAATGGAGGAAGAAGGATCATTTGGTCGGTTAAAAGAGAGGAAGAAGACGTAACCACGACGGGGGAGATAGAACAAATCGGGGGAAATCGGAGATGATGGGGATGATTCCTTCCGCCGCCAAACTCCGTTTCCGATCTTCTTCAATCGATTCTTATTGCTTCGCTCATGAGGCTTTCTCCGATTGTCTCGTCATCTCCATCTTCTCCGTCCATTTCTTATAGCCTTTTTCCTCGTGTAATACTAATAAATCTCCAGCTTTCCTTTCCTTTTCTTTTTTTCAATTTCTCCATTGTAACCTCACCTCGGAATCCTCCTCTGCGCCCTTCTTCTTCTGTTTTTCGATTGGCTTGTTTGTTGTGTATACATATATGGCTTCTGGTTCTGGATTTTTAGGTCAGATATCATCGTCGTCCATGGAAGAGGCTGATTTCGCCGAGAAAGATCCTTCTGGCCGTTACATCAGGGTTAGTTTGATTCATGTTTCATACCGTGGAAGTTTTGTATTCAATCTCCTTATGAGGAATGATCAGAGCTCGAGCATTTTTACCTAGTTTTAATGATTTTAGTTCTACCTAATGTGAGAGCTTGTTACTTTGATATATGTTACATATATGTTCTGGAACAATCAAGTATAAGATCATGTTGCATTGCTGATTTGGATAGTCTTTATGGTGGAAAAAAACAAAATAGTGATTTATCTTTCTTTTTTTTTTTTATCCATTCTTCAGTATGATGATGTCCTGGGGAGAGGAGCTTTCAAGACTGTGTATGTTTTCTACACCCTTTGCGTTTATGTTTTAGTTGCAAAGGAAAAGTATTCTGATTTGTTTGTTAATCCTCCGATATAATCAGATATAAAGCGTTTGACGAAGTAGACGGGATTGAAGTTGCTTGGAACCTAGTTAGCATTGAAGATGTAATGCAGATGCCTGGTCAACTTGAAAGGCTGTATTCTGAAGTTCATTTACTAAAAGCTTTAAAACATGAAAACATCATCAAACTCTTTTACTCTTGGGTTGATGAAAAGAACAAGACTATTAACATGATCACTGAGCTTTTCACCTCTGGTAGTCTGAGGATGTAAGTATCTCCTCACTTCTCTTTTATTTTATGATCCTTCGTTTTTGTTTTCTTTCCATCACATGGGTTGACACCATTTCTTTCGATGTGAAGATACCGTAAGAAACATAGGAAGGTTGATCCCAAGGCTATCAAGAACTGGGCAAGGCAGATTCTCAAAGGCTTGAACTATTTGCATTCTCAAAATCCTCCTGTAATTCACCGGGATCTAAAGTGTGACAATATATTTGTCAATGGAAATACTGGAGAGGTCAAAATTGGAGATCTAGGGCTTGCAACTGTACTGCAGCAACCCACTGCTCGAAGTGTCATAGGTAAGACGCTATTAAACATCTTCCTTCCTAAACCCTAGAAAATATACTGTAGCTGAAATTTTTGAGCGTGTTCAGGTACTCCTGAATTCATGGCGCCTGAGCTGTATGAAGAGGAATACAATGAGCTTGTGGACATCTATTCTTTTGGCATGTGTATGTTGGAGATGGTAACCTGTGAATATCCATACAATGAGTGCAGAAACCAGGCTCAAATTTATAAGAAGGTCACCTCGGTAAGTTTTCCACCGTCTTGACTTCCATCAAAATTATTTGTACAAGCTGGGCTCCCCTTTGAAACGTTGCATTTGCAGAATATAAAGCCTCAATCTCTCAGCAAAGTTGATGATCCTCAAGTTAAGCAATTCATAGAGAAATGTCTTCTTCCTGCCTCTTCAAGACCAACTGCTCTTGAGCTCTCGAAGGACCCCTTCCTTGCAAGAGATGGGTGCAAGGACTCTGCTCTTCTTGTTTCATCAAGTACAGCATCTAAACCTGTGAGACCACCACTGAATGAACATCTTCCCATGGATGTGGATCATAATGAGAATAGAAGTGTCTCTAGTGGCTCCTCTCGAAAAAGCAACGAAGACTACTCGTGGTGCCAAACCATTGAACTTCAGAGGTTTGCAGAGAATAAAGAGTTCAGGTTGAGAGGAGAGAGGAGTGATGATGTCACAGCAGCAATGCTTCTGCGAATTGCAGGCTCATCTGGTTCGTTTTCAATAACAGATATCTTCTATCCAAATTCATTCTTCTCAAAGTTTTCATTTGCTGAATCAATTGAATGTCCTACAACAGGTAAATGTAGAATCGTACACTTTGCATTCTATCTGCATTCAGACACAGCTAAGGCAATTGCTGAGGAAATGGTTGAGGAACTACATCTAACAAGCGAAGAGGTTATTGTGATAGCTGATATGATAGATGAGTTGATGATGCAGCTTAACTCTGACCGAACCTCGTCGCATCATAATCAAAGCTCTCCACATCTAGCCCATGAAGATCATGAAGCAGCAAATCAGCAAACTGTGAACTCGAAAGATGAGGAAGCTGCTGGACAATCAATGAAGTCAGACATATCCGCAGACTATTACTTACCCTTCTCTTCAAACAACGGAAATGCTGCCATGGAAGCAGGTCGAGATGCAGAGTCAATGAGCTCGTTTTTGGATTCTTGCTCAATGATGTCAACCATTTACAATCTTTCCATTTCAGACAATGAATACCCAGAAGATCTCAAGACAGAACTGAACCTGATCGAGTCACAGTTTAACCAGTCCTTCCAAGATCTACTGAAACTAAAAGAGGATGCTATAGAGAACGCAAAGCGAAAATGGATTACGAAAAAGCAAAAAGCTGTGATCATCTCCTGATTTTGATATTTTACTCTCCTTTTCGTCTTCTCTTCTTTGAGATTGGTGTTACACACATTTGGTATTTGGATATATTTGATTTGATGTAAAGAATTTTTTTACTTAACCAACGTTATTTGACTTAATTGAACTTCCTAACAAACAAAACACTCTTAAAGAAGCCAAAGCCAAGTTTAGAAGGTAGACAGATTCTGGACATAATGGTCCCAGAGATCAGTTGCGATCTCATCTCTTAGCCTTAAACTCTCTTCAACTTCGTCTGGTCTGAACCCATGTTCCTGCCCCACTATCTCACTTTGTTCCTCTTCTAAAGCCGCTCCTCCATCTTCTCCTGCTTCTGCCATAGTCTCTTCTTCAAACATTTTAAACACTGAATCGTCTGGTTTCTCCAAGCGGACGTAGTTGTGCAATGCACACGCCGCAATCACCAGTTTCACTTGTGTTTGCAGAGGATACGGTGGAGCTGATAGTAGAATCGGAAACCGTTCTTTCAAAGCTCCAAAAGTCAGGTCAATTGCCCGATGCAACAACTTGTGTCGTTCATTGAACATTTCCTTTGCCTCTTCTCTTGAGTTGGTTGAAACACGGTGATACGGCGCGATAAAGCCAGGAAGATTCGGGTACTTATTGTCTACAATGTAGTATTTTCCTTGAGGGACTTGTAACTTGTTACGCCGAGTCAAAGCTGCATTGAGAACTTGTTGATCAGTAGCTGAACCTTCCCAACCAGCTAACACATAGTGGAATCTAAGATCAAACGAAGAAGCTGCAAGAACATTCTGAGTAAGAAGTCCACTGCTGTTCCGAAACGGACCTTGCTCGTCTACTCCTACCATAACAGGTATATGAAAGCTATCAACAACACCAACACAGTCTTTGAAATAAGGATAGAATCTAGGATCATCCTCTAAGGTATCAGAATCCGGATTGGATTGAAACAAATCCACAGAGATTGCAATAACTGCATTCAAAACATTGTTGAAATGGCGGCTAATGGTTTCACCAGAGTAACAGAAGAGCTCTTGAACAGCTCGAGTTCGAAGATTATGACCAATGATGAACAAAAAGATAGCTAACTGTTCCTCGATCTTGATTCGATTAGTGTGACGCAATAAGCCTCTGGTCTGAAGGAGATCACAGAGCTTGTAGAAGACAGGCTTATCCATTCGGAAATTCTCAAAACACTGTTCGTTAGGACCATTGAGGATTTGGTATACGAACTTGTTACCATCTGAGATTGAGACATCTTTGCTGCTCGTAGTAACAGCTTCTTCTTTGTCTTCTTCGCCCGAGATCACCATAGATGATGCTTTAGAGAAAGAATAGCGAAGTGGGTTTTCGGGTTACGCAATCTCGATATCGGAACTAGCTGAAAGCGAAATTAAAAGAGAAGATTTGAAGAATTAAAGTGAAGAAAACTCCGATTGTTCTTGGAGCCAATGATCATATATATATTAGATCGTGCATTGCTCTCCATGTGTTCGACGATATGTCTGATTTTGGTATAAAATCAATTCATTGTCTATCCCGAATCCTTACTGATTTAAGGAGATGGGCCATACATAGCCCATGCATTCGACCTATGGGCTTGTATTCGTATCCAGTAAGCAGAGAGAACAACCCGATAGTGGTTGATAAATATCTTTTTGAAATACTGTATAGAAACTAAAAATTGTTATTTAATCTAAAAACACACATAAGTATACTGTATACGGTATACCATGCAAATGGAAAAGTAAATACAAACCTAAAGCAACACTTGGAACGTCTAACACATGCATACATTAGTACATTACATGATATATTTATCTTCATGTAATTATTAAGTTAATTATTAAGAGAAAAGGAGAAAAACCTTTTTATATCTTTGGTGAAAACTTCCTTGGTGTTTGGTAATGCAATTTATTAATTTGCATATTAAAGAGATAACTTTAGGAGTTTTATAACAATGAACAATTAGAGCTGTTCGTCCGTGATTTTACGTATGGAGAAGGAGGTGTCGTCAGAAAATGGTGTAATATGTGATGAATCTAATAGGGCCAGACAGAATTGTCGGTAGTACAATCGTCATTGTAACAGTTCTCATAATTTACAATAAATAATAAATCAAGAGTCAAGAAAAAAAAAAAGGAGAAAAGGAGAAATACCATTGAACACAAAAGTCATTAAGGAAACGAAACCAAAACAAGAAAACAAAAGAGAGTTATGAAAGGAAGAAACATTTAAACAACACAAGGCATAGAATCAAAAGGATATTTTAGCAACTAAACGCAAACTTGTACCCTGAGAAAAGGATCTTGTAAAGGACAAGGACCATTTAGTCAGACGTATTAAATGATAAGCTGAGGTTATCCGATAACACTTGGATGTTGCAGTTGGGTGAAGCTACTTCTCTCGGAAGCTCCTGAAGTTCCTTGAATACTTTCATCATTACATCTTCTTCATTTGAAAAAAGAAAGTGCAGTCTCACTTGCTCAAGATTCGGCATTTTATGTAGGAAGAACTTGACATGATCTATCTTCTCTTTTAAGCAATGAACAAGTCCACCATTGCCGTCATCATCAATATCGTCGTCGTCATCAAGATTTTCACCAAAGTTAAATATCTCTATAACCTTGACCGGACTTGATGATAGGCAAGGACGAACAACCACTCGCCAGTTACTAACATAAAACTTGCATAAGCACATCCATACATCTATTTGTGTATATGTGATGTAGTCCCTGAAACATAAAGGAAACAGTTTCAAACTCTAAATGTGTGTTGAACAACGTAGCATGGTTGATTTAAAGGATTGTGTATGTATGGTACTTCGAAGGCGAGGGTTACTAGATTTGGACAACTCTTGAGTAGAGCTGGCAATGCTTTCCATATTATTCCTCGGTATGTCGCAATAGTTAAATGAATAAGGTTGTTGAATACTGGTATTGTATCACGGCAAGAACCAAGTACCTGAAAGAAAAAAAAAGAAAAATTCAAATCAAGTCAAGACGTTAACCATTGCTATAGACTAATCATTGTTTCTGAGTAGCAATATATAAGATTAAGAGAAAGATGGATGGGACTACTGACCCAAAGCATGTTAACATTCACGTGGAGGATCTTAACATTGCCTACTCCGTTGAGAAAATTTGTTACACTACTCATTTCATTGAGTAACAAATTAATTTCATAGTCATCATACCCTTCGTAATTTAACTGATCTGGTGTCGGCCGAAGTCCGAGTTTAGCTTCAACTAGCGAACCAAAACTCATTTGTTGATACGTATCTGCAATAGTATCATCATACTCCATGTAGACCACATTTGGATTATCAAATGACAGTGGCACACCTTTGTTAGCATCATCATATTTACCATAACGAACAAACGTTAGTCTCTCGAGGGTTGGGATAGACACAGTCACTAAGCATGGTTCAACTTCCAAAGCCCCGTCCCACATCAAATTAGTCAACGCTAATTCTTCGAGCACATGACAACCAGAGAGAATCTTGTTAAACGTACTCGTTGTTGTCTTGAAATAGTTCAGATGGAGAATCTTAAGCTTGGGAAGAGAAACATCACCTTCAACGTTAATGTTGACACCACCTTCAAAGATTATAGTGAGGCTAACCAATGTCTTGTTCACAAACATCTCCGGAGGCAGAGGATCAAATTTTGAGCGGTCAGAATCAGCCCAAAACGAAGAGATGTTTAGATGAATATCTGATACACCACGTTTCAGCAAGTTTGGTATCCACTCCAGCACCCACAATTCATCGACTACAAAATTGCCTACAAGTTTGAACTTGTTGAGCGGAGCATTCCCTTGCGAAGCCAAGACACCATCCACAAAACGCATAAAGCTTCTAGCGTTCGTTAACTTTTCTTTGTAAGACGTTGGAGGATTAAAATAGATGGAGTCATCAAAGACAAGGTTTGGTTGATCAAGAAACAGAGGTTTCCACCTTTTGGCAAGAACAGAAGTTGAAACAGCCTCTTTTATTGGAAGGAAGGATAAGATGTGACATATCAATGCGTTTGGTAAATCACTGATCCTATCCATTTTCTGTCACACATATCAACATACTTATAGTGAGGTCAAAATATTACTTTGAATGTAATAATATGAGCTAAGGATTTTCTATCTTAAGTTTTGATTTCTTAGGTCTTACATCAATATGATTTTAAGTTAAGTTAAAAGAAAACAAAATGCTTAGAAGATCATCCAAAAACTAGGACAAGCAAAATATGTTGGGGAATCAAGATCCGATCTCTTGGATATCTATATTTGAAGTTACAATACACATACCAGGATCGGACCCGCTTATACACATATAAGTCAGAGATTTAAAATATCATAAAGACATAAAAATATGTCTTAAATATTTTAAAATTGATTTGAAATATTTCTATGATATCTTATTTTAAAATTAATTGTAAGAATTAGCTATTTTGTGTAGATCTGGGTATCCGTGGATACTGTGTACCAGACCTCGGCAGTTGTTTCACGGATCTGACATATCCGAATTTGGGTATCCCAATATGCAGGGTATCTGCTAATTAATATGTGTCCAATCCTATCTAGAACCCAGAAAACAAAAACAAATATCTTAATTTGAGTATTTGAAAGAGTCGGGTGATACGTGATGTTTACCTTTTTCGAGTTAAGCACCGATACCGCGTCTAGAGGTTATTGAGTGTTTTCTCGAACGCCGTCGCCATATCTTTGGGGTTTTTTCGCAGAAGAAGGGAAAGAAGATTTAAGAGGCCGAGAAAATAGATTTTGTTAAGATTATGTTTTAGGATTAGTTAAGGTGTATATTTATATTAGAGTGAGTTATAGGGTTTTCATAAGATTTTTGGGGATTTGCAAAAATAACCTTTTTATGTTACATTTTTGAAAAATACCCTTTTTTGGTGTCTAATTTCAAAAATATCCTATTATAAGTACAAAATGACTAAATTATCCTTCTTTAGTAGAACCCAAGTTGAAAAAGGAAAAAACTCCCGCCAAAAACTCCCGTCAAAATTTCTCGCCAAAAAATTTTCCCCCAAAATCTTTCATCCATAATTTTTCCGCAATTCAACTCTTTTAAAAAACGGGAAAAATGTCAAATAATTTGCCAACTTTCAAATTTCCGACGAAAAAATCTTTTGATTATGCCATTTTAATCAACAACTTTCTGTTGACTTTCCTTTCCTATAAAATGCCGAAGTTATGTTGACCGGGCTGATTTAATCTTGGAATTAGGTCTCCATGACGAGCTTAAGAACGGGATTAAGTGTCAGTTAGTGGTTTCCGTCTATGGTTAAACGCAACATTTGAGAGAGAAGAAGAAAGACAAAATCCCCAAATCGAGTTTTACTTTCATAATCGAAACCCTAGAAAATCCAATCTCTCTCAAATCCCAAATCTAAACCCTAGAAACAAAATCGAAAATCTTTGTTCTCATGAGTTCCAGCTCCATGTCAACAGAAGTCAAGCTCTATGGCGAGCGTGGTGTGCCATCGAAGTGTGTTTGTGGCTTAGGTGTGACTATATTCACATCTAAAACTCAAGAGAACCCGGCGAGACCTTTTTTTCGTTGTCCAAGCAAACGAGATGTGAAATCTTGGACAAGCAAAAAATATGTAAGTATATGTGGGTAATTAACAAGTTTAGGTTGAAAAATCAATGTAAACTAACAATGTGTCATGTCTTTGTGCATTAGACTCATGAGATTGAGGATGCTGTGTATGAAAAAAGTAGAAGATGCTATACCAAAACTAGCTATCATTGGTAATGAGATTAACAAAGCGAAATCAGAGGTCAATGAGTTAAATGCTATGCTAGAAGAATTGAAGGAAGAGGAAATGCAACGTTTCCTTTATTACTACCGAAACAAATCGCAGACAACTCTTTCTACCCTCTGTTGACGAACTCAAAGACATGGTGTTTTTATTTATTATCAGAGCTCTAATTGAGGGTATGATGAAATCTACAAACCAAAAATTGTAGTGAAACAAACTATTGAACATTTGTCTAGTTTGCTCCGTGGTACACATCAGATAACTCTCAGCAGCACCAACACACGAATCTCTCTAGATATTTACCATATCATAAGCTTGGAGAGCGTCACCAGTAAGCCTACAAACTCTCAGTTTCTGCAAAATACGAACACCCATCTGCTCATAAAACTTCAAAGCATTCACATTCGCAACCCATTCAATTCTTCCATAACCCATCTTCACAGCTTGTTTCGCCACAGCACTGAGTAACATGCTACCAAAACCTTTCCCTCTATAAGGCTCTCTCACATATATATCCTCAATGTACAAACCATGCGTCGACAAAAACCCCAAGTAATTTGGGAAAAACAGAACAAACCCAGCAACAACGACGTCGTTTGATATATCCGGCGTGAAATTGTCTCTCTCCGGATCCTCGATGGGGAGATCAAGGTTATGCGTTTTGACAAACGGTGTGAAATCGGGAGATACGGTGGAGGGGAATGGAGAAGGAGAGATCTCTAAGAGGAAGACGGTGACTGATTGGAATGGAGGAGAGTTGAAGAGTGTGGAAGTGAGACCTGATTCTGTGGCGGAGAAGAGATGAGTCTGGCCTTCGAATACTGCCATTTCGTAGATTAGTTTGTGGATGAAAGGTACGTCTGATGATGTTGCGAGGCGGACCCGAGAGAAGATTGGGTCTCCGACTGCTGAAGTTTCCGGTACCGTGTTTTGTTCTCGTGCTGCTGCGGCGGCTGCCATTATTACAGAGAACAGAACAGATCAGCTTCTTGTCTTCATAGTCTAGTTGATTAATTATACAAGTGGGGTTGTTGTTCATTTGTTCCATTTCAAATACGGACAAGAGAGGAGAAAAAGAAAAAACAATTATCTAATCAGCTTGAGACTACAAATCTAGTTCTTGTTTTTTTTTTTTGGTAAGAGACTCACATGAGAAGAAGAATCATTTCAATGGTCACTCAATGGATACGAAAATTGTAGAAAAATAAAAGGCAATGTCAAAACTCTCTCTCTCTCTCTATGGGTAGTGAGGAAATGATTCTTTTGATGCCGAGACAAAGCTGCTGAGTTAGAGAGTGAGGGCAGTTCGAGCCATGGAGAGAGCACCGTCGTATGATTGGTTTCCGCCGATAAAGCCACTCATGTGGACAAAGACACAACTGGGAATCTCAGCAGTTTTAGAGAGTTCCTCATCCCTAAGTCCCCTCCATTTCTCAGGGAGAGGCTTTCGGTTCTCAAACCTGTCTGGTGCAACCGCCACTGCTTGAACTCTCCACTGCTTTGCTCTCTCGTCCTAGTTTTTCACATTTCAAACAAGTTTTAGAGATCCATTATTTGATGACAGGTTCTATTTTAAAAGGTGTAGTACCTGGTAGATGACGTATTTGATGAGAGGCTCAATTTTCATTTCTTGCTCAAGCTCAAACAAATGAAGCTTCCACTGCTCACAAAAGAACTAGTGTTAGATATCTTTCAACACAAATAGTTAAGCATCAATAAGAGGAATAAAGTATCGAAAACACTTACAGGGCAGAATTTATTCAATATCATGATCTCACCACTGGAATCAGTCTTGAATCTTTCTTCAAGACACTGCATCACAATTGATCGAGCTGGTAACCACGATCTTGCATGAAACTGGACACTCTACAACACAATGTAAAAGAAGCTATCGTAAGTTTTATATTTGTTTAAGAAACATGTTGTCTCTATCTGATAAGCACATAATGTTATATAAAAGAGAACTTACTTCGAGGAACTCTTTCCCAGCTAGAGCCATTGCACGTTGGAAAGCTTCATTCTCCTTCTCTTGTGACTGGTCAGGGTCAATCCAATCCAGATTTAATCTTCCAACCCTTGAGGACAGGTGTGTGTTGTTCACATATCGTGGAGGCTGATCAGTATCATACCGATTTACTCCATTGTCCACAGCATCAATTGCCTGTCAAAATTACGCAACACAACGTCATCAAAACAAACAAGAATTGATATCCATAAGAAGAATAACCAAAATGCACATATGCCTAGAGTAAGAAATTGATAAACTGCAGCTACCTCCATGAAGCTCTTGTAGACAGCTAAAAACAACCGAAGAACATCCGGGTGATCTTGGTCAACATTAAGTTCCTTAGCTATGATCTCTTTTCCAAAATGCTGAGGTATATAACAAAAAATAACATTCAGACTCTATAATTGACATCTTAAGTGAGAATGAGAGCAAGAGCAAACTCCATGGTGTAGGTTTGTTACCTTGTAAACAAGACCAGCACTACTGAGCTTAGTGTTGAAGCCATGTCCAAAAACCTCTTCAAACCCTTTCTGGTGATGATCATAACGGTCATGCTCCGGATCATAAACACCTCCAACATCAAGCACTGCATCAAGTTCTGCCAATATCTACAAGTAACATACAATAAACGAGAATCATTTCAACCACCTCAAAATCACCATTTTAAGGCAGATTTACATCAAAAACCCTAATTCCAAAATTGAGCAAGCAATTTCTAGCAACTAATCATTTCCTAAGCCAGAGCTAAGCTACTTCGAAAACACATGAAACAGTCTAGGATTTGTTTGTGTTACCTTAGGGTCACGAGAACGGACGATATCAGCGCCGGAGAACTTATCGACGAGGCGAATCATGAAGCAACCGAGAGCTTCGTCGCAGTGAAAGCTTCCATTATGAGTACCAACTTTCTTAACGGAAAGCTCAGAAGGAGAAGGAGAGGTAGCGGTAGAGTAAACCCTAACGACGCTTGAAGGAGCCATCACTGCTGCTGTCACGAGAGGAGGAAGACGAAGTTGGAACAAGGACAAGTTTCTGATTAAACCTTTCGTTACCGGAAACATCTCACGAAATCTGATAGAATGTCAAATGGGCCTCTTCCACCTTTTATATGATGCTTCAAATTAAAGGCCCATGGGCCTGAGGTTTCATTTGTTTTTTCAAGTATGTACATTTTACCAATTTTTTTTACCAAGTCATCAAATTCAAATACTACTACAAGAAGTTGATACGTTGCTGTACAAAAAAAAATTCAAATGTGCAAAAAAGGTATGGTTTTATTTTCGTGTATATCAAATTTAAGTATTTAACCATTTTAAAAATTCGAATATTAAGGAAATTAAATTAACAAAGCTAATAAGCTAAGGTCTGTTACAAATATTCATTTATCCTCTTTAGTGTCATTTGAGATTTTTTTTAATCATCATCGTCACTGTTTTTACCCTACAATGCAAAACCAAAAAACAAATCAAAAACTCCAATTATAAATTGGATTTGAAAATCTATATTTGGTAAAGACACTTAAGTTACCTTGGAGTGTTTGTCAAAATGGATTCTTTTGTTAGATGAAAAGTCTTCAGATGTGTTTCTGAAGAATCGAAGTGTCTCAATATCACCATTTGCGATACTTGCTTCAAGCTACAAGAAACGATGAGATAGAAGATGAAACACCAAACTTTGTAGTGTTACAATCAAAGAGCATCAGAAAGATTTGAAGAAAGACATAAATATAAGCAGAACCTGAACATGAATAATGCCCAAGACGATGCTTGTAATTGGTAACCAGCTATCTTCTGGAGATATAGACAGATTCGAACTGCAAAAAATTTGGATATAATCAAACACTAAAACAGAACACAAACCCAGATGACCAAATTCACATAAAACACTAAACATATTTGCTTCTTCAAGATGAACAACAATGTAAAACAGCTTCATCATAACATAAGTGTGTTGTTGTGATCACAAGATTAATTACCTCAAATAAGGAAGAAGATACACAAGAGCATATACAGCGTAACGAGATTTTCCAGTGTCAAGCCAAGCAAAGACCCAACTCTAATCATATATAAAAAAAAGAGATTATAACAAGAGATGATTATAAGGATTTAAGGAGAAATGAGAAACAAACCAGCCAATTGAAGTAAGGTATGAAGCTGATGATTCCCATAGCAGCTAATCTCATATCTGTTGAAACAATCGCTGAGTTCTCATCTTCTTCTTCCTCATCGTTGACTCGTTTCGCCACTGGGAAAACAAATGAACTGAGGATACAAGCACCAATGGCGGTAACAAGTGGTGCGTCCTGTGATAACTCCGCTTTGCAAATTACTCTCTCAATCTTCCTACATAGCTGACAAAGTAAAGAAATGAACCAAGTTATTGGGAATAGAGAGTATCATTCGTAGGAGGAGATTTGGTGGCTTTGATCGATCACCGTGTTAGGGTTTTGTAAGCGATGAGCTCGATGAAACGGCGACGGAGGAGATAGTAGCCGGGGCTTGGTGTAGAGAGAAGCGGAGGATGAAAGTCCGCAAATCGAGAGACACGACTGAGACGCCATTGTTTTTGAGCTTTTCGAGCTCCGTGGATCCTTGTGAAAGTGACTGCGAATTTCGAGAAACACAGAGAGAGAAGAGACGGAATTTTAATGGGCTGTGAAAGCCTACATACTTATGGGCCTGTTAGCCCAACATTAATACGGATGTTCATGATTCAAATTTCAATTGCCAGAGATACTTTTTTTTTTTTTTTTGTCAAAATCCAGAGATACTTTTATAAATTGTATTTTCATGAAACAAAGAAAAAAGTCCGAAAAAACTAAAAATCATGTTTGAAAATGAGCAACAAAAAAATATTTCGCTAAGATCATCATACATCACAAAACTAAGGATAAACAAAAAAGGAAGCAAAATAATTATATAAATGAAGTATATATATTAACCGGTGATAATACCGGCTAAAACATCACTCTTCCCTCTCGCGTAAATTGTGTAAACCAAACGAATAGCATCCAGCCATCCATCTAAAGACTCCCATGAATCTGCAACCTGTTATATTAAATCCAATTCAATTGTTTTCATTTGGTTTTTTATATTCACCACATCACAACTACAAATCCTAACCATATCCGGTTTCAATAGGATTGGAGACTTACCAAGAAGACTGGGCCATGAATGGTATCAACGCAGAGACCAGCACCAGGAGGTAGCGTGAGATCAGCACAAGGCGTTACCGAAACTATCTCTGTGATATTTACTTTTACCGTCTTCCTTTCCACGTTGGTGCTCATTGTATCAGATTTTCCTGACAGGTTTCGTCCCATTTCTCTTGGTTCAGGTTTCAGTACCTACATACACGACACCGACTTTGAATTTCTATAGAAACATTATCCATCTTTTGGCATTATCTCATGGATTCAACTTTTAAAGAGATTCTCGTTAAGAGAGTTGTAAGGAGGATACTCTAACTGAGAGTACCTGTAGAAGCCTCTCATGATTGAGTTCAAACTCTGTGCGTTTCCAATCACTGTGAGGAGCAAGTGAATTACCCACGGGTGCTGCAGTCAGATATCCAACTTTCAGATGCGGTAGAGGTAGCTGTCAAAATGAACTCAATTTACTTTTGGTCATTTCCACAAATAAATTGATAGATCAGGCTAAATCAACTTGATTGGCTCATCAAACGGTAGTGAAAGTAGGGATGTACCATGGAACGAACAAGCCTCAAAGCGCTGCTGTAAACCTGGACCAGGAAAAGAATCAGCCTAACCCAAAGAAGTTGAAGTGATGATTCTAAGTCTGACACTAATTTTAAGTCTGACACTAATTTTATGTTATAGAAATATGACTCAAACATCTTTAATTCCAGCACAAAATGAAGATAAGGCTTACCGAGTAACTTGGCTTCAATGAATGAGCTGCAGCAATGTAGATGGCAGATTGACTGTATAACTCACCAGGAGGCATGTCTTTGCCGTTTCCCGAACCCCCAGTTCTAAGTGTGTCTTCTGCTAATCCATACTGTCCATGTGTTATAAGGAGTGGTCAATTAAGTGGATTTAAATCAAATCATAACCTGCATATAAAGAGTTTTGTCAAAGAATTTTCAAGCATAACTTACAAGAACAGTTCCAAGGTTGTATATGGCTCGATGGAAATCAAATTGCAACCTGATTGCTGCCCGAAACTGTATGGTAAAACAAGTGTGAAGAACAATAAGAAATCAGTCCTGCATATCAGTCCAAACTCCAAAGTTCATATTAGTTCAAAAGTCGAATAAGCACCTTGCTAATGGCAGTTCGAACAACCTTTTCCTTCTCCCTAGCAGGAACAATCTGACTGAGTTCCTAATGAAAAAACCCAGGGAATATTCCTAATTTCTTAGAATTACAGTTTTTGTCTTAAATAGGCACATTTTTTTATGTCACGGCAAATGATGGAGAAAAACACATGTCACTCAGTTACCTGCAGCGCCAGTCCCCAGTTGTTTAAAGCCTGCATATATAGTTGAAATCATATCTCAGATAATCAAAAGACTACAATATTGAACTAGCCAAATGATGACACATGCTTGTAGGACATGATATAGTTGACAAAGGTTTGGTGTATTGTGAAGTTTGTACATCATATGAAGTGGATGAAGAACAATACCTGGGAACTGTTCCAATTGAGCTGGACAGCTTTTTCATAATTATTAGTTGCCTGAAATCAGAATGCCAAACACAGACTTCTTTAGTACTAGAAGTTGAGATCAAACTACAGTAGATTTGGGTTTCACAATTAGCAGGATAAGGTCCTGTCAGTCCTAATATCATATGCAATATTACTTACCTGTTCCCATAATTCTTCAGCCTCCTTTGTGCGACCACGCATCTTTGCCCTATCAGAGATTGCAATAGCCCAGTTGTAGTAAGCCTGTCAAAACGCGTCATACACAAAAGTTAAAGTCATTTATGCACGGAAGATAGCAACTATCTTGGTTATGATTGTGAATGCCATTATATTGAATTTGCAGTTACATAAACCAGAAACAATTCTAGTGTCCTATTAATACATACATCATAAAGCGTTGGGCAGAGACGGGTTGCCTCATCGTACTTCTTACAAGCTTCCTCAAGCAAATCATCTTTAGAAGGTGAAACAGATTCTGGGCTGACATTATCGGCACTTTCCTGTGGAGATATATGACAAGTAATGAATCCCGTATTATTCCCAGTATAAGCATATTAACAAAAAAAGGTCTGGTGTCTCCAAAGACCGACACTTATAAGCTCTTAGCCTCTTACAGAAATACTTTTATCGCATGCCCAGTATTTATGAATTTAAATGTATGTTTCAGCTTCTTTTTTCAGTCATCTTTCGATCCTTTCCTTAAACACTTTACACAACAATTGAAAGCAAGATCTAGACTAAATCAAATTTCAGTTCCTTAATTACTTCCATATGAATATATCCAACGAAAGCCAATCACATATAAGAGGGAAGATGAAAGACCAATAGAAGGATTGAAAGAGAGAACTGCTAAATACTAAAAACGAAAGAAACCAAACCTGGAGTATAAGTGCCCAGTTGTATAATGCATCATGATCATCTGGATTTCTCTCTATGGCACTAGCATACCTACAAAAGTTGCAGCTTATAACTTCAGGAACCGAAAACGCACAAACATAAAATATCAAGCTTTCGAATGAGCATTAAACTCAATTAAACTATTTTACTACATCTCTAGATCTATCAAGCCTGCCTTAGAGGACATAAGGTCCAAACAAATAACAATCTAACTGATTGGTTAATGAACTAACTTTGAAACAAAACAAAAATTTCCGTAAGTGCATTTCTTGTCTAAACTAATCAGGGGATGAAAATGTGAACATACTTGCGGGCAGCAAATGCAAGAACACGCTGGCGAGATCGGCCCTCTTCGTCGTTAACTTGGATCCTGTTAATCAGATCCATTGCAGGATTGTTCTCCGCTGGTTGAGAAGCACTTTCTCGACTGAGCAAAATCATAAGACAAAGCACAAACAAAGTTAACCAAATTGTTCAAGGAGTAGTTACATGATCAAATTATACAATTCAACTCAAATCAGCTGAAATTAAAAAGAGAGAGAGAGAAGAAACCAACCTAAAAGGAGAGACAGCACTGTGAGGAGTCCCATCTCCTTCTTCGCTTTTTAATTCGCTGAGCAACTCTCTCATGGTAAATGTCTTGTTCCCATCATCTTCTTTCTTAAGAACAGGAGAAGACTCCTGATCAGCCTCCGTCGACCGGATCGGGATCTCCTCGGATCCTCCCGGCGTCAGATCCAAATCAGTTAACTCCGGTTTCGCATCGGTTACCACAGATTGTACTTCTTCCGGCTTTACCTCAGATAGCACTTCTTCCGGCTTCGCATCCGTTACCTCAGATTGTACTTCCTCCGTCTTAACCTCAGATTGTACTTCCTCTGGCGTCGCATCTGTTTCTATTTCCGAAATTTCTCCGGTAAGTTTGGGTTCCGGAGTCGGATTTTGCTCGGTTTCGGATTCACCTGGTGTCGTTCCATTGTGCAATTGAGGCTCTTCAACAGTATCCGCCATACGAGAAGATTAACAGAGGTTGCAGTATCTTACAGTCCGAGACTGATCACAAAATAAATCTAAGTCTCAAGAGGAAGAAGAAGAAGAGATCTGATGTTTTTGGAAATTGAAAAAAAAAACAAAGAATTGTTTATTACCTCTAGCTCAATTAGAGGCTCCTCCGACCAAATAAAGTCAAACCCCTCTTTCTCTATCGGGTTCACTTTTGATAAATTTTGAATTTTCTATACTATTTACTTATTTAGCGATAATGCGACATTTTCAAGTGTTTTTGGACAATGTTTTTATCACATTTTATGTAACAATAACAAAGAGTGCAACAAACAAGTAAAGAGATAGAACAAGAGTGTGATGTAATCCTTAGATCTTGTCGTGAAGATTGACGACTAAGTCATGAGCATCGTCTAGAAGTTTCCAAACATCAAGATGACCAGCCATGCTGTTACATTCCTTCATTATCTCATCCATCCCACTGTATTTTTCTATGATCGTCTTTCTCCTCTGCAACACACTCGCGGCTATCGCATAAAGCAACAAATCTTCTGTAGGCGGTGCTCGTAATCGGATTCTCCCCCAAGTCGCCTTCGCAATCCCAGTTCGTATCGCAGCTTGATCTGCCCACATTACTTCCCAGAGACACAGCGTCTGATCAAAGGTTAGTTCTCGTCTGAACAGAACAACCACCATACGGTATACAAAGAAGCAGTCTTCTGCTTCAAGGTTCTCCAAGTGTCGGTACAAGTGAATGTCTTTGAATTTTATGATTTTTGAAACCATCGAGAGTTGTCGCCTGATTCCAACCTCGTCTAGCCGGAAATTATGCCGTGCTTTACTCATGAACCCAACAAAGCACCAGAATGCCAAGACGTCGTCTTCCATCACTGCGATTAAAGGAGATAGTAAGTCGCTCATTCCTTGACAGTAACCGATTTCTCGATCGTAGACTGCGTAGGCTTCAAGGATCCCAACCAGGCGGGCGGCATGGAATATCCGGCAGGGTTCCAAGTGGTCGTAGTCATTGAGACCAACCTGTATGGCTATACCCCGGGCTTTTGTCTCGGAAACAGCAGCTTGAGTCGGTGAGTATGGCACCCATTCATCATTTGCTCTCACAGCATCTAGGCGGATAATTCTCTGCCATGTTGTGATGAAATCCTCGTCTGCAGCCTGAGATTTTGTCTTTGGTAATGGAGACGAATTGTCTTTTCTTTGGTTAACAGTATTGTGGCTTTCTGCTTCTTCGTTAGCTAGAAGAGGTGAATTCTCGGTTTCTACAGGGTTGGTTGCGTCTGAATCATTAGCAGCAGCATCTTCAATGGTGACATCGCTCTTTTCACAGTTCTCATCCTGCATAGTGGATTCAGAATTCAACTGCTCCGATTCATTAGCAGCAGCATCTTCAATGGTGACATCGCTCTTTTCACAATTCTCATCCTGCATAATGGATTTAGAATTCAACTTCTCCGATTCGGATCTTGTGGAACTATCAACTTCTTCAATATCATGGGGATCAAGAACCAGACTGTCTTCAGTGTTACTGTTCTGAGCTGTTTGCTTTGGGTCACAGCCATTTTCATTGCGTTCATGAATCTCGCGACACTGTCTCCGCAGATTTTCATATTCTGTCCTGCATGATTCCCAGATAGAAAATAAAGTTATTTACAAACTGACTCGAAATCTAAGTGACAGGAGTTCCAAACTACTACTTCATATTCCTAGTTGTATCAACAGATTACCAGCTGCCACCTAAGAGAACAGAAAAAAATGGGAAACGTGATATTGGTTGGAAGTTAAGATAATAAACTCAAATATAAGGGAACGTACTGTTTCAGCTGTCGAATAGAATCTCTTTCTTCTTTGGTGCTGTTTAGGTCAAACCTGTGAGAGGTAAGTAGAAAAAGGTTACACTATGTCGGGATGATAAAGAGTGAGTACTAATAAGTTACACAGGATTCATTATCAAAGTAAATGGAGTGTAGAATGATGGCTGGCTGAGTATGGCGAAACTAGGACTAGTCTTATAAACCAGTCTTGGAAGAAAAACATTAAGGCAACTCTCCCCTCTCCTAGTTAATGAATGCTTTATTGTTATACTATTTATTCAACCTTAAACCTAAATAACATCAATAGCCAATCCCAAATCTACACTACAAACATTTGGAACATGCATGAGTACACTGAACAGAAAAATCCTCATGGCAGCCTCAAAGATAAAAGTATACATAAAACAAGGAACAGTGACAAAGATGCTGATTCTTACACTCCAAGGAGGAACGGCCAAACTTCGGGTCTGATGCTTGGATGTACACCCTGAAACAAAAACAAAACAAATTATTAAATATATCAAGGCATAATGGGAAAATTTGGTTACAATAAGAGTGTCAAAAGGTTATCAACTGTCGCAATACTCATTAGTGCAGAATTCTTATTTAGCAACATACCCCACTACGAACTTTCTTCAGAAATTTGACACCTCCATCACTGAGTCGCCCATCCTCTGTGAAAAAAGCATTCCAATGTTCAGGTTGAAGAACACGCTTTCTTCTCCTCAGTGACCAAGGTGATCCAATGCTTCCTCTGAAGAAGTGAATGAGCAAGAAATAAGCAATTTCGTCCCGTAACTTTAGAAAAATACATAAAACCAAACCAAGTAATAACAAAAGGCTTTCTTCAAACAAATAAGACAGACTAAATCGTACATGTTATGTCATATGTCCATATATGTCACACGAGTTGCAAGCATGGAGTTCAACACACATAAAAAACCTAAGACTAACCACCTCATCACTATATAATCGAAACATCCCAAGATGTGCCAACAATTAAAATAGAATTAAAAGGACCAGAAGACATAAGACCATATCAGGCTGCACTTATACGATTTTGTCTTTGCCAGAACCAAAAAAATAAAATAAGTTTCATTGCTTGGGCTGTAGATACAGTCATAACAATGAAAAGGTATCCCTGAGTTCAATGGTAAGAGATTAGCACTGAACAGCTTGTGTGTCTGATATAATTGCAAAAGAAGAACACAAATACAAAGCTTGTGGAATTGATTATCGAGAGTTCCTTCACGAGTTTATACATGGAAGTTTCAGACTTCCTCCTAAGACCCTTCCTAGAAAATCACTCTTCATGTTCTTTACTGAACAAGAGAGCATGGCATACAAAATACAACCCAACAAACTAACTAACAGTAAACATTAGCCTCAAAATCATTATACGCATCAGAGACTATGAATATAGAATATGGCCAGGACAATGTTCAGCCTGAGAGGCTTACAAGTTACAAGATAGGAAGAGGTAGTGGTATTACGAGTTAGATAACACTGGACCAAGAGCTCAATCACGATAACCTAACTAACAGAGCATTCGTCGAAACTAAAGGCAAGAGGATCTAGTCTCAATGTTCTAACAGTTGGAAGAAGCTTACAGGAATGTAAACCAGTAAAAATTGGTGAGGAAACAAAGAGGCAAGAACCGATCAAAGCTTTGGGTGCCAAACGACAACTTAACTAAGCAACAAGTAGTTTACAATCGATTAGAAACATAATCAGATCTTTGTGTGTATACCTACGGGAGTAGACGACGGTGAAAGCCACGGCCAGACCGGCCATGACGGTGACAGCAACAGCTAAACCAACATTGGAAGGAACAACAGCCGACGACCATAATCCGCCGGAGTAGCCATTCCTCGCGGCGCCACCGCCGCTGCTACCGTCGGCAAAGACGATCCATTTCCCGGGGAAGATCAGGGAGACGAAGACCTTCGTCAATCGTAGTCGTGGAAACATCATCCCCAAACTAGGGATTTTGCTCACTTGTTTGCTCCAAGATTTCTTCTGATTCTCAGAGTAATAATCATAGCAATTTGCTAAGCTTCTTGTTGAAATGAAATTGAATATTGAAAAAGTCGAAGGTCGTTTATGGAAACTTGGCCCACTTTTTAACGGGCCTTCATATAGATGGGCTTTCGTATTTCTCAATTTAAATTTTATTTTTATTAAAATTATCAGCTATAGTAGTAAATTAACGAGTTAAATATTTGATGTCGTTAGTGACTTTCCAATGCACCATGTCATTAAAATTATCATGCGATTTATGAAACAGGTTTTTCGTACTTTTATCAATAAATTTGTTGTTGTTTATTTTGATGATATTCTTATCTATAGCAAGGGCCTAAAAAAGCATTTGGATCACCTTGAAATGGTGATACAAACTCTTAGAGAGGCAAAACTATACGCAAATCTCAATGTTCATCCTCATTTTTAAGCTTCTATTTACAACACAAAAACAATAAGTGTAAAGATTTTATATATATATTACTGTTGTCCCAACTAATTGAAAGATAAATATGTTTATATAGTTATATACATGTTAAATAAAATATTAAAAAAAATCACCACAAGCTAACTTATGATGAATCATTAGAGCTAACTTATGTAATTCACCAATTCAATTAAACTCCTTATTATCGCCTAACTCATTATAAATAAAGCTTAAATCATAGCATATTCATGTAAAATCAAGTTGAATGAGCTAATTCATTGATTAAATGACTCATTTTGACACATTTATATGTGGATACTAAATATTTATAACTAATAAATGACAATACTTTGGTTTACTTAGTAATATTTTTATTGGATTATTAAGACAATAACATTAAATTTTGGTCTATACGAATATTTGCACGAGTATCGTTTAAACAAAAATATTTTGTTTTTCTGTTGAAGTTTTTATTCAAAGTTTTACTCAGTGGTTTAAATAGATAGCTATTTTGGATTGTTTGTTAAAGTGTGATTAATCTTTGCAAAAATAATTTATTTCAGACGACAGAAATATATTATAATAGGAAATCCAAGATTAATTATGATACATTCCTTATATGGTCTATTTTCCAAAAACTATATTCTCCCATTTAATTTTTAGGTAAACCAATTTTGCAAAATCTTCAATGGAAGTACATCAGATCGTTAGGAAAACTAAAGCCAAAATCTACTTAAACTCTAGCAACCATTCAAGACCTAAGTAAATCAGATTAGGTTTCATAGAGATTACTCTCAGTAGATATCTTTGAAAAAGTCTTGGCGATCCAAATGTGGCATCATTTATGTTGGTAGTATATGAATATATGCTAATAAATATTGTCTTAATGTGGTTTTTTGTCAAAAATTGTCTTTACTGTATATGTTTATATATATAAAAATGTGATGTTTTGAGAACAAAGTTTATAGTAAATTAAATTTCTTTTAAAATTATGTTTGAAACTGGGAATTAAAAAAATATATTATATAAGTGGCAGTTTTAGTAATTATTTTATAACTCGCCTTATTTTATAAAAAATAAAGAAATAAAAATTAAGTACTTGACTAGACGGGTGAGATTTTCATACAGATGGATGCAGTAAAAAACGTCTGATGCTAAAAATGAATTGGCTAACAGAAAATAAAACTTAAGTTAAATTTAAAACCAATTATGCTCTTATTTGAAAATAATTACCAGCTAAATCTTATGACTTATCTATAGAGTTTTTAAAAAATCAGTTTTTTTAAATTTGATAATTGTTTATGGTTGGGAATAATTGTTGCAACAAAACGAAAAGAATTATCGTAATTTTTGAGAAAAATAGTGTAATGTTTTCTTAAAACAAAAATGAAAAAAAATCCATGGATATTTAATTTAAATAAAAGAAATGTAAAATTTCTTTATAATTTTAAAATATTATATAATAAACTCAAAGCAAAAATGACAATAACCATGAAAACCATGACCTTTTTAATAAATTTTCTTCACCTTGCATCATTCTTGAAAAGAAAATAAATAATTACATTATTCTTCAAAATAAAATAAATAAATAAATATTGTTTAGTAGAAAGAAAAATCAATCGAACGGCTGAGATATCCACGCAGAGGCGGTCAAAAGCGAGAGATCCTTCCAACCAAGACGGAGGGTTCCATTCTCTTCAACCAAAGTATATCCATTCCACGGCAACATACCCAACAACAAACCCGCTTGCGTGGCCGGGTTACCCCGAAGTGAAACGGGTCTAAACCCGACCCGATTCAACTCCTCTTTCCACTTCACCCTCCTCCTTCTTCCTCCTCCGTGCGCCACAATGTTTCTAATCTCCGTCGCCAACACGAGCTGCTCCACCGTGAACCTCTCTCCACTCTCTTCACCCAATTTATCTCCGAGCGCGTCGAACAACGCGCTGTAATAATGCAACGCCTCCACGAATCTCCCTAAAAAGCTTCCTCCATCGTCGTAGCTCAATTCTTGCTCCACCACCGTGATCAGATTCGGTTTCAGCCTCCGTAGAATCTCCAACGTCTCGAGATCGTTTCCGGTGACGTCGTATAACCGGTGCTGCATCCAATGAACCACCACAGCTTCGCCTTGTCTCGTCCCGAGTTGACTCGGATCGATTAGGTTTCCGATTTTGCCTTCAATTGGATGAAACTCGAAAGGGAGGTTTAACGATGACGCGAAATCGGCGAGTCTCCGGCCGGTGGAAGCGAGAAGATCGGAGGAGGAGCCGAATCCGGTGATTCGAATTGATCGTAATTTTCGAGGACGAGAAGCGAGGATGTGAAACAGAGCCGGCCAATGAAGACCTTGCATCACGTCGAGATCGATGATATGAACTGAATCTTCACCGTCAAGCGCCTGAAAAATCGCTTGATTCGCCGTGAAATGTGAGAATTTGATCAGAGGACTAACGGAGTTAAAAGTCTGCAAGGCGGAGAAGATCTTCCGAGACTGAGAAACAGAGAGCGGTTTCTCGGAGAGTGAAACACACGCGCCGGAGAGGTAAGAGCTGATCACGCGCGTTTGCAAAGCTTGCGCGAAATAAGCAACGACTCGTTCCGGGGAGGAGCCGAACGGAGAACATATCTCTGAGATTTCGGATAAGAGCGTAGAAGCTTCGGGGAGATGATCCGTAGAGACGTACTCAGCGCATTGTAAGAGTAAGCTAAGGAGTTTGATTGCGGCGGCGCCGCCGCTACGGAGTGCTTCGTCGGAGAATTCTTCGATACGGCGTTTAGCGGCGGAAGGATCGTCGGAAGGTTGGAAATCTCTGTCGAAACGTTTTGAAGTCATGGAGTGTTGAGAAGTGATGAATCATTGAAGAGAGAAGAAGAAGAAGAAGGAAGAAAGAAAAAAGTGGAGAGATTCGAAAAGAGAAAAGGTTTGAGAGAGTAATGACAGGAAAATTTCGAAGGGAGAAGACAAGAAAGTGTTTTGGAGTTATCAGTTTCTTTTGGTAAACATTTCCACTGTTTATAATCGAGTGCTCTTTTGTGATCGTAAACTGCTACAGCTCCATTATTCTCTTTTTGTCTTTTCTCTGTTTACTTAAACCAATCCAAAACCAAACCGAAAACCGAATTAGACCGCCAAATATGGATTTCACAATTTGATGGGATCGATCAAGTCTTATAACAAGGCCCAAAGGCCCATTTATTCCGATTGAACGAAGATATTTACGGTATTGGGCTATTGCGTATGTTTTATTTGCAGCAATTCTCTTGGGCTGTGATGGAGATGGGTAACATAGCTAAGAAGTTGTCTGAAAAGTGCAACATTTCAAGTCCCCCATGAAGGTTCTTTTAAGTGAGAACAAGCAAGTCCTTTTATGTACAAGCTTGAACAGACGTTTCTTGATGAAGTCGATACGTATAGAGAGAAACACGTGCTACTTCTTACCACTGCTAAAAATTATTTGACATTGTCTCTCCATCTTCATTAATATACTATACAACGTCAAGTTGCCTAATCGCAAAGTGAGTTATCTAATGGAGATGCACAGGGTCTCAAGAGTGAGCTATAATCTTCCTGTGAGTCTTACCTTTTAGTAGTAAAAAAATTTAGTGAACCGTCAAGAAAACAAAAGTTGAGAAGGAAACTGGTCTAGGGGATCGTAATCAGCTCCCATGATGTATGATCTCGGACCTAGCTAGCTTATCTATTCTGAAACCATGCAGCGACCTGTCGTGGATACATAGTTAAATATAGCTAGTGATCTAACTCCTGAAGAACTTGAGCATCAGGCTTAATTTGAGTAGACTAGAGACACCACCCCTTGGTTCACTTTTCCCACAGTTTTCCCTTAATTCAACAAAGCTTCTCAAAATCCCCTATTATTGTTCTTTAATTTATACATTAATTGCATCTATATATTTGTTTTCCACTATACGATTTTAGATTTCTGAATATGAAAGTTAAAAATTTTGAAAATGGATAAGTATACAGCTTTACGGTTTAAGTGAATATGATCTAAGACCATCATTATCAAGGAGATTTAAGAGGTATCTTAACATAATTAGAATTTAAATTTAAATCAAAAAGGTTAATTTTCAGCAACATACGTATCTTGTTTAAGAGCTAGAGATGGGTATGTTACGTACACGTGGCAGAATATGGATGGCTATATTTGTTATTACTCAGTTTTTTTTTCTCTCTCTCACTTTTTTTTTTCATCAATCTCTCTCCCCCGGCCAAACAATATGACAATAATATCTCTTTTTTTTTTTGGTTTTTTAAGATTTTTGTAACAGACTTATTGTTGCTTCTTTATATGTATCTTAGGTATGTTTTAAATTTTAAATTTTGCAATAATTATAAAAAAATCAAATTATAAATTTTAATTTAATTTAAATTTTAAATAATTTATTTTCCTAAGATCCCCAAACTAAGATCCTACCAATAAACGCATCTCAAAACTAAAAACAAAATTAAAACTCTTAAACTCTACTTTTTCAAATTTAATACTAAATTAATGCTAACATACCCTAATTAACATACTCCCTATAATGTTGCTTTAAAGAAGCGTAATATTACTTATATCATTAGTAGTAGAAACCTATAACTAATGCTGTAGCTAGCTTTCTATGACTTTCCCAAATTAAGATTGCTCTTCGTTGGATCTTTTCAAAGTGGTGCTTCTTAGAACTGCTACTTCAATTCCCATTTAGGAGGCAAACTTTACATTATGACCGAAAGAGATGTACGAGTTACGACACACATCTCATCCAATATTACCGAAGTATAGAAGCATGCATATTTACCAAAACCGCGTTTGGAGTGTGGTTAAAGATAAAACATGGCTCTTTGTTATTAGCTAACAAGGCTCTTTGTTATTAGCTAGCTATTATGGTACGTTGAACTATATAGAAAATTTGTGTATTTGTCAACCACTAACTTAAAATTATATATAAGTATTAAAAGTATCTTTAGTGTAATGTGTATGAGAGAAAGAGAGAGAGATGGGAGGCATGTGAATATCACATGAAGTGAATGAGGACGGTGAATGACATGTTCATCAAAATCCAAACCTAATCAATCATGTTCTAATAATTCACCTCTCTTAGCTTGTTTCTACTTTTTTTTTTTTTTTTTATCTTTTTCATTCATCTACCTACATATTTGGGTCCTTTCTCAACTGATCTTTTGACTTTCTAAACTTTGACTTAATTTTTCTTCATAATGATACAAACTATCATATCATATAGTAATACACTTTTTAAGGTTTTAGTTAGTAATCATTCAAATTCTAATTAATTCAAAAATCTCTTTTTAATCCGAGATTGTTTTGTTTTACGTACATTTCTCATTGCAAGAGCTAGGATCTTGTCATTTATCAAGAACTAGAATATTGTATATATATACATGTGAAAGCATTATTAGCTTCGAAGATGAACTAATTAAAAAAGAAAGAAGTGGAAATAAGTCAAGAATAATTTTATCATGATGACTTTAATAGTATGTTTTGTTCTTTTCGACTTTTATATCTTTTCCCGAATTTGCCTTTTTATTTAGCTTTTTATTTTATTTTATTTTACCCCCTCTTGGCTACATTTCCACAATCTTTTCTCTAATAATAATATCTTCTTCCTTCTTCCTTTCATCATTGCTGTCTTGTCTCCTCTCCTCTCTCTCTCACTTTCATTTCTTTATAAATTTTAAGTTCATCTCTCACTCTCTGTTAAAAGCTAGCTAGGGTTTTCTTATGGATGGAGTCCATGTTCATCGGTGAAGCTTTTCTCTTTTGAGGGGAATGTTGTCTGGCACGAGGCCTTTAACTCAGATCTACGTTTTTGATTATATATTTTTATATATATGTACTCTCTTCTTTATTCATTAGTCTTCTATACATATATATGTATATATGTATGAATGATCGATCTAATGGTTAATGACGTCGGACCAGGCTTCATTCCCCTCAATTACATCGCTTTGATCCTTCCTTCTTCGAGTACTTACGTAATGATCTGATCTAGGTTAGTTTCATTCATATATCTTTTCTATTTATTTCTGCTTCGATCATCTTTGTATCTCTGAATTTTGATCAACTTCAATTTCTATATATGGATCATTCATATATATATGAAAAAGTGTGAGTTGTTTACTTTGTTTGGTTTTTTTGCTAGGACGTTTTGGGGTTTATACTAATTAATCTCAAGTGATGAATTAGTAAATATGAGATAATTACATGTGTGTTGAGGTTGCTTGTTGATTTCTTGCTATAATAAAGAATCTTACTCGTGTGTATTCTACTCAAATTATAGACAAACTAGTGCTAAACCATACTTCAAGATCGAGCTTCAGATTTGAATATTTAGTTTGTGAAAAATGTTAATAAGTAGTTTTTAGTATTTTGTAGTTGTTTCTTGTTTCATTCATCTAATGTTTTCCCTATATATTTATTATATATTTCTTGTTATAAAAACCTGGATTGATATATATATGTATGTGAAAATAGTTAGAAAGAAGAAGAAGGACAAGTGGGAGGGATAAGAGAAGAAGTAGTAGATGCTTTGCTTTAGAGGTGATATATGCTTACAAAAAATGACTTTTTAATACAATGAGTGAATTCTCTTATTATTGTTGCATTTATTATTTTTACTTTTTATATCCTTTGGAAACGTATGATTCACAAAGGTGAAACTAGAGAATCAAATCCTATTTCACTCACTCTTATAAAGTCTCGAATGTATATGATTGTTCTAAAAATACTTTGGAAAAATCGTTTTGATATCTTTCCAACTTTTATAGATATAGTTGAAGATGCTTCAAAGTTCAATTTATACTATTTTGATCTTATATTTAAAACACAATTTCAATTCACCATTCAATAGTTTTCATTTTACATTTGTTCAACACCGATCTTTTTTTTTATTATTGCATATTACTTTTTGTTATGAGAATATATGCCTTCACATGTGACTAGTGTCATTCATCCATGCAAGTGAATACTATGGGATAGTGTGGAATCATATACTATTTTAAAAGCAATATTGATGTTATATGCTCAAGGTCCTTAAAATTTATAACTCCTTTCCAAAGGAATATTTTTACATATCATCTCTCTATATTTTGTATACTTAATGCAATTGTTGCAGATGTTAATTATAAATAGAAGACTTTCAGTAATTTTTATAGTCTTCAGATTTGGTAACTTATTTAGAAGTGCTATATATGTGTGTGTAGTTCTTCAGATATCTCTGTCCCAATCTATTTGATATCTTCGAAACCGTTGAAGGGACAGTAACGCTTATAAATGTGGTGAGAAACAATAATTCAATGTGGTCCGACTGAAGACAAAAACAAAGTAGAACAAAAAAAGTTTGGTTAAAAACTACAACCACTTTAATTTGTCACTAAAAATTAATACTAAAAATACTATACATATGTTGTTGTATGCGCAATACTAAAACAGGCTAGTATTGGTTAAATATACATAAAACAGGCTAGTATTGTTTTAGTATTGGTTAAATATACTAAAACAGGCTAGTATACATATGTGGTTAAATACTAAAAATACTATACATATGTTGTTGTATGCGCAAGGCTAGTTGGATCTAAAACAGGCAATTATAATCTTAAGGCAACATGCTTTAGAACCCAAGAAAGGAAAGAACAATGTCCTTGTAACCATGATCCAACCATACTCTGAACAGTCCCTTTATATGAATTGAAATTACAAGGATTTTTTCTATTTCACGCAATAGACATGATTAAGAACATTGTTGAATGAAAATTCGACTATCCGATTCGTCCTATAAAAAACCACCCCCAACGATCATAACTACTGGTAACTATTTATGATCATTGATTAGCTCACATGGAATATATGCCTAACACCGACATGAGACTAAGTTATATAAAAAGTATTTACAAAACTTGTGCATGCTATAGTACATTATGTATAGTACCCTCTAACACTAAATCAAAAAAGAATTTATTTTGGCTCGAAATATCGAAATAGTAAGAGGACGTTACAGGGGTTAATGACTATGATCAATCATTGTAGTAAGACGACTTTATACAACTAGATAAAATTTCTTAACAACACCCTTTTTTTTATATATAACTT